TAGTTTACAGTTTCTGTCATTAACGAATAGTTTTTGATCGAGTGAAGCGTCGGGGGAGGCGGGGGGAGGCTAATGTGGACTGTACTTAAATCGGATGTCTTTGGGCGTAAGGTGCAGATGTCGCAACGTAGCTGTAAACCACAACACAATGTGCCAACCGCCCTCTCAAGGGCGAACGAACATTACCCATAACATGAACATTGAGCAGCTATCGTAGCTGCTATCGCAGTCTAGCTGTAAACACCAAAATCGAACGGAAAAAAGCGTAGATACTGCAGCCTAGCTATAAACCACAACAAAACGTGGCAACCATCCAGTTAGATCCCCCCCCCCCCCCCCCCCAAATAAAAACTATATGACCCAACAAGGAATCGAACCCCTATCACCCGAGTAAAAAAGCAAAATGCTTACAACTAACTACGCTACTGAATACTCAATCATTTTGTGGAAATAAAAGTATATTATAAGAATGTGAAGGTCGGTGTTGCGCAGTCAAAGGTGGCCAATTCATTAAAAATAAATCCGGGCGGGCAACAAAACAAAAGATGATTTGACCGTTGTTGAAGCTACGTCGCTCGTTGTTTGTGCAATTTTATGACAAAAAATAATGCTTTGAGTCAGAGGCAACGTTGTGTGCAAATTTGAAAGCAATCGGTTCAGTAGTTTCCGAGTTTAGAGCTAACGACACTGGAAAATTAGATTTTTATTAATATAGATATTCCCACGCTGGTTCCTTGTGAACACTGTAAAAGGAACAAAACATTTAATCATGTTGGTCAAAAAAAAAAAAAAAAAAATAGCAAAGATCAAAACCGGTTCATAAATTTACAAAAATAATGTCAACAGACAAAATGTATGTTTGTATGTATGTAAGTTAAAGTCGGGAGATGTGAACCAGCGTCATTGCACACGGCTATAAACCATAAGTGCTCTGCCACCAGTACGGACAGCTGATAAGAACTGTCCGCCTGTGTCGCCGTTCGCACATAACTTTCTAGCTACAGCGACGTTCCTCCATGTATGTAAGTTGTACCCCACCAGTACATCACACAAGTGATAAACACCCGGTGACACAAAGTGCCACCATGCGGATGAGGATCATCAGTGGAGAGGTCCCGGAAACCCCGTTTAACCTTTTAGGCCAAATTTCAGGCCCTGGTTGTATTTAGGGACTACGGCAAAAGCCATGGAGGGGCTTCAAAATAACTAAAAAGTGCATCCCACAAGGGGATGACGAGGCTATAACAGACAAAATTGACTGTCACAATAAAAATAAAAAGACTTGGGACATTAAAAATGACACAAACTTTGCATATCTCTCCATAATAAACAACAATGGAGTCTGTTCAACAGAAGTCGAAGGAAGGTGGGCACAGCATTTCAAAGTTTAAAACAGTATTACAGATTTATGGCTAAGCGCAAGCAAGAAAATCAAAGTAAGAATGTTTAGAGCATGCATCTTTCCTGTAGCAGTATACAGATGTGAGTCACATACTATTTTGCAGTCACTAAAGAAGAAGATATGGGCTTATGATCTGAAGGGCTACTACTATTATGGCCTGGAGAGAATGAGGCATCTGGGTGTAATCAGAGGGTCTGGCCGGCTCACTACACTCAGAGGAAAGGCAAGACGGAATATAACCAGATTGTGAACGGTACTATCAGTATTGGAACTCTGCAGAAGATAAGGACAGAGCATACATGGGAATGCCCCGAGTACTGTGATGTCAATTCCTAACTCAACTCAACTCAGGGCTACCGAAAAATTCTCAGAATACTATTGTATTGCGATTTGTCGCCCTCCAGCATTGCAGGTGTCCCCTCTAGCATTGCAGTTTGTCCCCTCCAGCATTGAGGTTTGTCGCCTGTAGCATTGCAGTTTGTCCCTTCTAGCATTGCACTCCACAGAATTAACACCCCAAAGATGAGAATCCTACATGCACAAATCCTGCTAAGTCCCATTAAACCGCTAGGTTACATTGGGGCACCCGAAGGTTATGAATAACCTGAGGTCCGGACCATGTGGGAAGATACTTGACCGGAATACTGCCGACCAAGAAGGAAAGAAATAGTGACAAGAAATACTTAAGAAACATCCCAACTCATATGATGAGCAATGGCGTACCTGCTTGGTTTTCCAACAATGGAAGCTAGAATAAGGATATGTTGGCGACTTCTGCTACCGTCGATGATGAACTGCATTTCTAATGTCGGACTGTTTGTGTTAGCACTTCGGATGGCTACCGTATGCTTTTAATGCTCGTGTATGTAGTATATGATGAGACAGCAGTCTGTCAATCTTTCCACAAGGGACTGTGTCGAACATTCTGTGTGTTTTTCGTTGGTACAGGAGCGGAGCAACTATGGGGTGACTCGTTTGCTATGAAGCTGGAACTAAGATAACCAAGATTGCCTAGAATAAGGATATGTTGAGCACACGCCTACCGCTGAGTCAATTCCGACACACAAACCCACTGCTCAGTGAAATCAGGAAAAGAAAAGGCAGCAGATTAAAGAGAGGAAAATCATAGATGGGTCAGGCTGAGGATATTATACAAGAGGTTTGTCCACTTTCAGGACATATAACTTGTGAAAGAATGGCAACGTTTACCGCCAGAGTGTCATACATCATTTCAAGTATGCATTAAGCTGAACAGTGAATGCAGACAACAAAGCCCGGTAATGTGGAAGTGGAAGTGCAGGCCTTGATATGTGAGAATTCTTCTGAGGGCGATGTGATCAGCTACACAGACGGGTCTGTCATTCGACATGTCGGGAGCTCCTTGGTCGGAGAGAGAACTGTCAAACAAGACTGCGGTGCCTTCGCCTTGACGACAAGCAGTTTGACTGTGAAGGTCATGGCAGCAACTAAAGCAATAGCCAGGCTAGAAACACAAGACTTTCACCAGGGCGTGCTTTCTCACCGATTCAATGAATATTTTCAAGAGCATCAAGAAGGCTGCATACAAAGACAATGTATGGAATTCCTGAACAGATCTAAACTGATAAAAATCAGCTTCATATTTGCTCCGGGGGATTCTAGTGTAAAGGGCAATGAACGTGCTGACAGACCCGCAAGTGATGCTCGCGTGGGATATGGACAAGCAATGGACAGGGCTGATGTACTGAATGCCCTCAGAGAGGCGGCTCGATTAAACGAATCAAGTAATGATTGTGAATCTGCAACACTGACGACACTACACGAACATAACATCAAAAGGGGGTGAAGCCAGACAACACAGCTACACAGCCACCCAAAGAAGAAGAATAAACCAACACAGAACTGGTGTCATTAACCACTATACACTTAGGGAGATACTGAAGAGGGGATGTGAGCACTTATGGACTGGATGGTTCAATGTGCGATGATAATCTGTCGACCAACAAACTAACATCCTGAAAGATCTTAAACATCAACGAACATTGGCTAGAAAACAGCATCTTGTCGTGGAAATGGAAATATTTTGGCCATAGCAAGAACCACAGCAGATTGGAAAGAATAAAGGCAGAAGACATGGTACTAGAAAAGAAAGACAGAGACCCCAGGATAAAAGTGACACTTTGGGTAGAGAAGAGCTGGGCAGAAGAGCTGAGGAGAGACCAAGTTTCTCTCAGGCAAACTGTGATGAGAGCGACATCCTGCAAAGGACCTGCTACATGATCCCCATTTGGGACCCGGAGCGACTCTATAGGGACAGAAGGGAGAGGGGGAAATACCCACCTGTCCCTTGACTATTATATCATAAATGGCAACTATATAATGGTCTGCCAAAATTAAATGCATTTCCCTGAAAAATGCAAATCACGCAGCCTAGCTACAAACTGTAACATGACAAACCAAACAGCCTTATAAGGGCTGCTGTTGCTGCTGCTGCTGCTGTTGCTGCTGTTGCTGCTGTTGCTGCAGCTGTTGTAGCTTCCACCGCTTCCACATAGGTTTTCACTAATCAGTTAACTGTTTGTGAATTCACAACTCCATACATGGATACAAAAAACAAGGATAATAGATATTCCTCATTGTCTTCTTCTTTTTCTTTTTCACATTCACCGGTTGTAAACTCCGGCAGAAAGTTCCTCCGGCAGAAAGTTCCAATTCTTCGTCCACTTCTTTGATCTTGTTCCAGATCAAGGGTTTTGTCATAGTTCCATAACACTGCATGCCTTTGGGTCACCGGTTGCTATTGACCGATCATCTCTTTCCACCTCTGTCGGTGAGACACTAACTGCATATTTAAGGTCTCTGGTCAGTGAAATTATGTCTTGAGGTCTTTCTTGGTCTGCCTCTTGTCCATCTTTCCCTCTACAGAGCCATAGCCTCGTTTTAGAAAAACTGGTAGATCTTTTTACATGTTCGTACCATTACATTTTTGATCTTTTTACTGTTTTCAAAATAAGTTCATTGATACCAGTGTGAGCATTTCTCTTTCACAATGTCAGAAAATTGGATTGGATTGGCTTTTTACCCCACCAGGACATCACACAAGCGATAAACACCCGATGACACAAAGTGCCACCATGCGGATGAGGATCACCGTGGAGAGGTCCCAGAAACCGCGTTCAGACATTTGGCCATAATGATGACCTGCCTATATTGCGGCCCCTGGCAAAAGCCAGAGTGGGGCTTCAAATAACAAAAAATAACGTCCTAAGAAGGACGTAAGATATTAATAGTACTAAAAAAAATGTCAGAAAACAGTGCGGACCTGACAAGGAGAACTCACTGACGGCCCTACAAATGGTTCATCTTATCAGAAACTCATCTTATCCAGAGAAGAATTCCAGCAAGACAAATTACAGGAGATAAACAAATTAGGCCACATTCAAGATGGCCTTAAGGGATGTGCACGGTATACAAATAAAAATCGAAGTGTTCCACAGAACAAGGCAACCATCGTGATATTACAGGTTTGTTACGTCAAGGTACGGGAGGTAATAGAAGCTAGCATATGTGAACCTAAAGGGAACATTTGATTACTTCCCTTGACAGTCTGAGTAAATTGCTACCTAAAGATACTAGGAAATCGTTGACACTGTTGCATGAGCCGTGCGTACAACTGATTCTTAAACTTAAGTATACTCATTTCCATTACCAGTTTTTCAGGGCTCCAGCTCCGGTAATGATGAACTATTGCCAAGTTATTGTTCACTAAAACAACAGCTGCGTTGCTCACAAAGGAGTGCACAAAATGGATGCCGGCGGCGTAGACCAGCTCTGGGCGAGTTATATATTTCGTCCTATCATCTTTTGGAAATATTTTTTCCCCACGCCAAAACTGAGACAGTGTTAGAAACTTGAATTTTTCAATGTTTTTCTTTTCTTCATCAGAAAATGAAAACTGTGAAGGAATTTCTGTCCAGTTTGTGGTATCACTAATCTTGAAGAAACTTGACCTAAAGTTAAAGCTTCCAGTTGTTTTAAGTGATTTTCGTGATGGGTCTGATGGATGCATCAAAGCCGAAACGTCGTGTTCTTCGGGGGAGATAGTATCAAGTAACTCCATCCAGGTAAAGTGATTCCTGGGAATGATAAGCTCGTCAGTGTCCACGTAAACCACGAATCTTGAGATGTTGCGGTTTCGATAACCGCAATCATTCACTGCAGCCATTTGTCCATAGTAGTGGACTTCCTCGGTTGGAACCGCCCATGGGAGAACAGTGACCAGACCATCCTGCTGGTAGCGCTGGAGAATCTGGTCAACAGCCGGGGAGATGCTGTAGTTGTACACCACGAAGTGCTCGGCGCCAAGTATCCGGTTCATTTCTAGAGACTGGATGAGCTGGGACGTCGACTTGTAGCCGCTGTGTAGAACAGAGTAGCAGACGGTGAAGTTTCTGATGAGAGTTCCCGGGTAGATGATCTGGAGTCGATTGACTGCGGTAATATTTTTCTGAAAGCTGATGGAGACATGTGTGGGTCGCACATTTACTGGCAGGCTGCACTCGGCGTAACTTGCGATGCATCTGGTAAAATATGGAATATAACATAATTACTATTGGGTATTGTATGGGTGTTTTCTATGCTACTAGTGCCAGACTTGGTTATTCATAGCAGAGCATAAAAGAAAATTAGTTACCATTGAATGTTGAATTAAGAATCGACATCACAGCACTCGGGACACTCCCATAAGTGCTCAGTCCCCATTTTCAACAGCACGCCAGGAGTTCCAATTCTGATGGTACCGGTAACGATCTGATTGTGTATCTGTCTCACCCTTCTCCTGAGTGTTGAGCGTCGGCCAGATTCCCTGGTAACTGCTCGCAGCGCCATTCTCCTTAGACGTAATGATCTAACTGCGCCTCTGCACTGTTCACTTGCTCCCAAAGGGCCCTCACAATATCTAACTTGTCATACATCAATTCAGCATCAATTAGTTACCATGGAAATGAAATATCTGAGCAGGGCTACAGGAGTGACAAGATGAGACAAAATTGGAAATGAGGTCATACAAGGTTTAAAAAGAGCACAGAAACAATTCTAAATTACGTACAAAAACAGCAAACCTAATGGTTTGCCTTGGGACGCCAAACAATAACAGGCATACACCAGAAGAGGAAAAGGAAGGACATAGAGCACCTGGAAGACAAAAAACAAGATAGAATGATAACATAGAGACACTCTACAACAGTACAATGTGTCTATGGTTGGGGCGGCTAGAAGAGCAGAAAACAGAACTTTATACCTCTCTCCACACCCAAAGATGTATAAGAGAAAGCGAAGAAGAAGGACGAATGGTGTTTTTCCAGCATATGAACTATGAACTGTGTACTGTCAGTATGACACCAGCCAACAAATTTAGGATCATGGAAAAAAATATATATATATATAAAAGACTAACTCAAATCAGTCAGAATTCTACAGTTAACTGAGTAATGAAAACTTTTTAAAACATCAGATTGCATGCTTTTCCTGGGTGTTTCACTCACTAGTGCAGAGCTATTCAACTTGAGCCTGCAGGCCAAATCTGGCCCGCGGAGGCCTAGCATGTGGCCCGCGGATCATTGCCAGTTGTATAGCATTAATGATCTTACTATGCTGGAACTGGGGCTTCTGGTCCATGACAATCCTCATTTTGAAAACATTGGCCCCAGTGTAAACTTAGGGCCCTGGTCTAGTGGGCATCTCCAGCATTGGCCTACCATGAATTATATGAACAGCATTTTTTCATTGTATGCGGGATACACTATTAAAAAAGCATCATCAATTCCTGCACATGTAAATAGATTCTCAAAAAATCTCCCCACGTGTATGGGTATATTCTACTCATTCGATGTACCCAAATTATTAGTCAAAAAGATCAAAGACATTTGCCGCTTGAAGAAAACAGTAGCACTATGCAGCTGTAAATTATAAAATCATAAAAATCATCATTATCAGCATTCTTATCATCATCATCTTCTTCTTCTTCTTCGTTTTCTTCTTTCTTCTTCGTTTTCTTCTTCTTTTTCTTCTTCTTCTTCTTCTTCTTCTTCTTTTTCTTCTTCTTCTTCTTCTTCTTCTTCTTCTTCTTTTTCTTGTTCTTGTTCTTGTTCTTTTCTTCTTCTTCTTCTTCTTCTTCTTCTTCTTCTTCTTCTTCTTCTTCTTCTTCTTCTTCTTCTTCTTCCTCCTCCTCTTCGTCAGTTCTTAAATCAACTCAACTCAGTTTCCCAGAGTTTTACTTTGTACCCGTTTTAAGCTGGGTCGACCTAAGAGTGAAGATTATTTTTAAGAATATCTGGGTTGGTGTGGAGTTAAATGCAAGATCATCAAGCTAGAGTAATATTTTATAGAGCAGTCAGCACTAGATGGGTGGAGTCTACTGTGCTAGAGCAATATTTTATAAAGCAGTCAGCATTCGATGGGTGGAGTCTACTGTACTAGACAAATATTTTATAGAGCAGTCAGCACTCGATGGGTGGAGTCTACTGTACTAGACAAATATTTTATAGAGCAGTCAGCACTCGATGGGTGGAGTCTACTGTACTAGACAAATATTTTATAGAGCAGTCAGCACTCGATGGGTGGAGTCTACTGTGCTAGACAAATATTTTATAGAGCAGTCAGCACTCGATGGGTGGAGTCTACTGAGCTAGAGCAATATTTTTTAAAGCAGTCAGCACTCGATGGGTGGAGTCTACTGTGCTAGACAAATATTTTATAGAGCAGTCAGCACTCGATGGGTGGAGTCTACTGTACTAGACAAATATTTTATAGAGCAAAGCTTTTCAAGTGAGTTTACACAGGTGCCAATATACTGAAAATGGGGATCGCCATAAGCTACAGGCTCGACACCCAGCATAAGAAGTAAATTAATTCAGTACATCTGGCAATGATCCGTGAGCCCCTTGTTAGGCCTCCATTGGCTAGTTTTGGCCTGCAGGTCTCAAGGTGAAATTCCTGTTATAGAACAATCAGTATTCAAGGAGACCAGGGGCCTGCCTTTGCTTCTCCGGGCACTTCCTGTAACCCTTATCAGACTAAGTCCATCAGGGAGGTGAAAAATCAGTTGTAAAATTTTGCATAAAGAAAAACAAAAAAGAAATAGAAGAGACATCCAAATCTTACTTTTTATCGTGTGTTTCAGGGAGGCCCTTTGCACTTCCATTCATTTGAAGATTGCTGCTGTTTTCTATGCTGAAAGTGCAGTAGAGTTTCTGCAAAAGGTCATGTCTGAAGATGCCAATAATACGAACAACAGGTTTTCCTTGCTGGGCGGCCACATGGTCAAAGTAAGCAGAGTGGATCCAAGCGTTTTTGCCATCAATTTGTACAAAGTTTTGGGTTTGTCGATGTCTCTTGGGGGATCTGTGGCAGACACAGTTAATAAAAACTATGAGATCTGTAGTTGATCTTCTTAGTGTCTGGTTTTAAAAAAAAATCAAAAGGAGCGAAGAGAAGACTGATATATTCCAACATGGCTTAGGCCTGAACAAGAACATTGACATAATCTATGACTGCAGGGATCACGTGACATTCCCACTGTCCTCTTCTAAAACAGATCAGGGGTTTGTGGTGACCAGAAAAAAGGAGGGGTGAAACTAAATCGGTCAAACAACCAGTCAAACAACCAGTCAAACAACCGGTCAAACAACCAGTCATACAACCGGTCAAACAACAAAACCAACAACCAACCAGTCAAACAACAAAACCAACAACCAACCAGTCAAACAACCAGGTAAACAACCAGTCAAACAACCACTCAAACAACAAAACCAACCAGTCAAACAACAAAACCAACAACCAACCAGTCAACCAACCAGTCAAACAACCAGTCAGACAACAAAACCAACAACCAACCAGTCACACAACCAGTCAAACAACCAAACCCACAACCAACCAGTCAAACAGCCAGTCAAACCACGAAACCAACAACCAACAGGTCAAACAACCAGTCAAACAACCAGTCAAACAACCAGTTAAACATCAAAACCAACCAGTCAAACCACAAAACCAACAACCAACCAGTCAAACAACAAAACCAACCAGTCAAACAACAAAACCAACCAGTCAAACAACAAAACCAACAACCAACAAGTCAAACAACAAAATGTCTCAACCAACTAAACAAACAACAAAACCAGCAACCAACAAGTCAAAAAACAAAACCAATAACCAAATCAAACAACAAATCCAACAACCAACAAGTCAGACAACAAAACCAAACAACAAACCTATTTACCAGCTAAATAAACAACAAAACAGCAACCAACCAGTCAAACAATAAAACCAACAACCAACAAGTCAAACAACAAAACCAACAACCAACTAGTCAATCAACAGAATGAACAAAAAACCAGTCAACCAACCAGTTAAACAACAAAACCCACAACCAACCAGTGAAACAAAAAACCAACAACCAACTAGTCAAACAACAAAAAGAACAACTAACCAATCAAACAACAAAAAGAACAACCAACGAGCAACACAACTAAAAGAACAACTAACCAATCAAACAACAAAAAGAACAACCAACGAGCAACACAACTAAAAGAACAACTAACCAATCAAACAACAAAAAGAACAACCACCAGCCAAACAACAACAAAAAAACAATCACCAATCAAACAACAAAAAGAACAACCAGTCAAACAACAACAACAACAAAAAACCACCAGCCAAACAATAAAAAGAACAACCAACCAATCACACAATAAAAAGAAGAACCACCAGCCAAACAACAACAAAAAAACAATCACCAATCAAACAACAAAAAGAACAACCAGTCAAACAACAACAACAACAAAAAACCACCAGCCAAACAATAAAAAGAACAACCAACCAATCACACAATAAAAAGAAAAACTAACCAATCACACAATAAAAAGAACAACTAACCAATCACACAATAAAAAGAACAACTAACCAATCACACAATAAAAAGAACAACTAACCAATCACACAATAAAAAGAACAACTAACCAATCACACAATAAAAAGAACAATTACCCAGTCAAACAACGAAACTAACAAGCAAACAGTCAAATTAAACCAGTGACTAACCAGTCAAATAACAAACAACCAAGCAGTAACAAAGCGAAGAGCCAACCAGTCAAACAACAAAAAGAACAACCAACCAGTCAAACAATAAAAAGAACAACCAACCAGTCAAACAACAAACGAACAACCAACATGCCATCTCCGCCCCCCCCCCCCTTTTTTTCCCTGGCGAACGTCTTCACCACCAAGCTGGCTACGGTCGATAATATGCAGTCTTTGAGAATATCACATTACTGTCCTGTTGTCGGAAGGGAAGACAAACGGAGAAGACCAAGAGAGGCCCTG